ATGGTCTTTTCTTTCTCAATTTGCAAAATATCACCACTTATAATGCTATGTATGTTCACACTGGCATTAAAACGATGTGTTTTGAATGAGGATTCCTCTAAATTATGGCATCGGAGATTCGAACATATCTCCATAGAGCAGATTAAGAGATTAGTAAAAGATAGGGTACATAATGCTCTTGATTTTACTTATTTTGAAACTTGTGTAGACTGCATTAAAGAAAAGCAGACCTACAAATTAAATAAAGGTGCCAATAGGAGTTTGAACATATTAGAGATCATACACACTGATATATGTAGTCCTGACATGGATTCACATAATCAGAGATACTTCATCTCTTTTATAAATGACTACTCACGATACATGTATCTCTACTTGTTTCATAACAAGAATGAAGCATTAGATGCCTTTAAAATTTTTAAGGCTGAAGTAGAGAAACAATGAGGAAAGCAAATGAAGATTGTGAGATCAAATAGAGATGGAGAATATTATGGTAGATACACAGAGGATGGACAAACACATGGTATGTTTGCAAGGTTTCTTTTAGAGAATGGGATAATTTCCCAATACGCAATGCTTGATTCACAGACCAGAATGGTGTAGCAGAAAAAGAAATAGAACATTATTGGACATGGTGCGTAGCATGCTTAGTAGCTCTAATCTTCTTAGATCCTCGTGGACTGAAGCACTTAAGACAATTGTGTATATATTAAACCGAGTTTTAACTAAGGTTGTTCCAAGACACTATTTGAATTAATGAAAGGTTGGAAATCAAGTTCGCGATATATGATCAATTGGGGATGCCCGTCCGATGTAAGAATTTATAATCCACAAGAAAGGAAGTTAGATCCAAGGACAATTAGTGGATATTTCATTGAATATGCTGAAGGATCCAAAGAGTGCAATTTTTATTGTCCATCTCACAACATTAGGATTGTGGAATCAAGAAATGCAAAATTTTTTGAGAATGATTTGATAAGTGGGAACGATCAAATTAGGAACATAGTTTCTAAGAATGATCATTCAGGATCTCAACCTTCCACCTCAAGTGATAGTGAGCCTTTGGTCTGCAAGCTCAAGAAACAACTTGAAAGGATTCCCCTCTAATCATGGTCCCAAAACATGATGAAAAGAGGAATAAAGCTAACCCTTCTTTAATTTATTGGTCTGCAAGTTCATTGACCACACCATAAATGGCCTTGTGAAATTAGGCATTCCCGAGCAAAACAAAATGTGGATAAACAAGTACAACTAGTACAAACTAAAGACCCATAGCTAAGGACTCATAATGAATCAAAACATTCGGATACAAAGAAAACATGACTTTGTATACATGTATACGATTCGTCGAACAATACTATTAGCACGCGGTATAAGCAAGATCCATATGAAAGAACCTGAGGTTTACATGAAACAACCTGAAGGATTCCCCTCTAATGATGGTGAACATTTGATCTACAAGCTCAAGAAATCCATATACGGCTTAAAACAAGCGTCCCATCAATGTTATTTCAAATTTCATGATGCAATTTCTTCATTCAGATTTGTAGAAAATATCATCGATCAATGTATATGCCAGAATGTCAATGGGAGTAAGATCCGTTTTCTTGTTTTATATGTAGATGACATTCTACTTGTGATCAATGATAAAGGTTCGCTACATAAAGTGAAACAATATGTCTCTAAAAATTTTGACATGAAAGATATGGGAAATGCATCTTATGTCATTGGCATTAAGATCCATAGAGACAGATTTAAAGGCATTTTAGGTTTGTCTCAAGAAACCTATATTAATAAAGTTTTAGAGAGATTTCGGATGAAAGATTGTTCACCAAGTGCAGCTCCCATTGTTAAAGGTGATGGATTCAATTTGAATCAATGCCTGAAAATAATTTTGAAAGGGAACAAATGAAGAACATTCCATATGCTTCTGCTGTTGGAACTGACTCTAGTAACATGGAGCATGCTTCATATGTAGTAGTAGGTTAAACATTAGAATCAATGAGATTTAAGTTCTTTTCTTTTTTATTGAATTGATTTCTTTCTTCAAGTTCTGTGTTATTGAACATGTACTGTAAGTGAAGAATCGTTTATAGCAATATGGAGCATGTTTAGCATGCAGACAATAAAAATAATAAGATTTTAACTTCTTTTTGGTTTTGCCCCTTTTTTTCACAATAAGACTTGGACGATTATCCCTACCCTCGGTAGCTTACGAGTATACTTCCATTCGAGAGAAAAGGGCCACTTAACTCCTAATTGTTTTGGATTCATCGTCACTTCATTTTTATAGGATTCTCTTGGAACAATCACAAACACTTTTTTTATTATGGATCTACTACCAGAAATTCAATGCACGGAGCTTTCGGAGTGCATCAATCGACAGTACCAACTGAGGCTTTCTTTTTCAAGTGCATCAGGCAGGCTGGTGCTAGAACCTTGTTCAGAGATATAGATTCTACGGCCATGTTGTGAGCGAATCAAGTAATACTGTTCAATCTAGTATTCTGCCAATAAGGTTCATTTAAAGCTGGAAGTTCGTCGCTGAGAGGTCTCAAGATAAGATGTTCAACAATAATTTTTGATCAACGAAGTTCAGTTTGGACCAATGACTTTAAACTTTTCAAACACGAACAAGTTCATTAGCAAAACACCTCTAACTCTCTGAGCCCTCACAATTTAAGGTTAATTTTACTGCTACGAAGGAGGTAAAACTATGAAAGAGGTAAAGTAGATCATAAATTCAAATATTGTTATTTTAGAGAATAAATTACAAGAGATTAAAAGAGTGTGTCCTTGCTTTACTTCATACATACATACATATGTATAGATAACTTAAGGTTTGGTGGCCTTTATTTTGATAAAAACAATGTTTTTAATAGTGAATTTTTTGAGAATGTGTGATTAAAAAATAGTAAAAAAAAAAAAAAGTTTCCAGTGTACATGCGGAATATTTAATTGTGTGAACATGTGATTGAATATATATATATATATATATTTTTATAAAGTTTATAAATAATGATTGTCAAACAGGGACATGTCAAGACTATTATCAAATTACAGTATAATGTCTATAACTAAAATTGGTTTAAAGTTGACACGTAATACATGACCTTTCGTAATACACAATTATTCTTGCACTAAATGATTCTTCTCAGGCCCAATCCTGAAAATTTTAGGTCCTAAGACGATAAATTGTTACGAGATCATACTATAATTTTTTAGAAGTATTATTAGCATCAAACATGACTAAATCAAAGAGCTTCTAGTTATGAGAAACATTATATCTATAGTATTCACTTACTGTTTGATTTATTCGAGAATCAATTTTCATGTTCAAGAAATGAGTTAAATCCGCTCGTGGTCACTGTATTTTGTACTTAGTGTCACCATGACTATCCAAATTAATTTTGATTCACCATGGCCAACCAACTTCATATAACATTTTAGTCAAGTCACCCTATTATTATCAACAACAAAATAACACAAAAAAAAAAAAAAACGACTCATGATTATTAACACAAAAAAAAAGAAGAAGGACGAGAGTAAGAAACAAAAACAAAAATACACGTATGTTAATCATTAGAAAAACTTTATAATAACTTATATGAAAGTAGAAACATTTTTTTTTTTTTTTAATTTCTACTCACACACAAAATATTTTAAGGTAATAGATATTTTGAGAATGATGGATAGATTGCAAATGGGGAAAGTTTAGTGAGTAAATTGAAACTTTTTGAAGTTCAGTGAGCAATCTTAGATAGTATTTTAAATTGAGTGATTTTTTGAACATTTCACTCCGATATTTTGGTCAATATCAATCAGATATATGCATTTACTTCTTTTTTGTTGTAGGAATCTACAATTACTTGACTCGACTAAAGCTAGTCGAACTTACAATCGAAAATAATACTTTTGTAATTTTTACAAAATAAATATTGAATCCCATCACGTTGTAATTTTTTGACAATGATACTTGCGAAAGAGTTTGAGCCCATGTTTAATTTTCATTATTTAAAATTTATTTTCAATCACATATTTTTCAAAAAAAAAAAAACAAAATTAATTTTTCATAAATCTCTACTAAAGAGCAGGCCCCAACAAAAATAAAAAATAAAAAAATCGGTCAAACCAATCAAAACGAATCGGCTCGAGTTGGTTTGGTTCTGTTTGGTTTTTAAAACAAAATCTTGGTGGGTTTGTTCAACCAAATCGACCCAATCTACTTGCATGTTTACCTTTTTTTAAAAAATCAAAATTAAAAGATAATACAAAATTTTATAACTATATCTCAACTCTCTCTAATCTATAATATTGCCAGTAAGTAATAATATTGAGAATTTCTCTTTAAAATCTCATTATGTTGTATTTAGTTTTTTCCTACTTAGATAGTCAGGCACATAATGCACAAAAAATCAACAAAATTCTTAAGTTTTATTTGTTATTTGTCTCTATTAACTTAATTTTATTTGTTAATGGTTTTTGTAAAATAAAGTTTTTTAGTTATTTTAGTTCCTGTAATTTAAGTGAACCTAATACTCAGATAATTTTTTTTTTTAAAATATAAATCAATTTGAACTAAAAGTTCAAATCGACTAACCGAATTGAATCGAACCAAATCAAGAGTTAGAGTGGATTGATTTGAGTTGAAATTTACTCAAATCAACCAATTTGATTTTGATTTCAGGTCAGAGTCGAAATCAATCCAAGTTAAACCACTCCAAGGCCTATAGAGGAGCTGAATTTAAAAATGTCAAATAGTGCAACTATGTGTTGGTGCTAATTCCATTGTTTTTCCTTCTGGTTTTTGTAGAAGATATAAATCAATTTGAACTAAAAGTTCAAATCGACTAATCGAATTGAATCGAACCAAATCAAGAGTTAGAGTGGATTGATTTGAGTTGAAATTTACTCAAATCAACCAATTTGATTTTGATTTCAGGTCAGAGTCGAAATCAATCCAAGTTAAACCACTCCAAGGCCCATAGAGGAGCTGAATTTAAAAATGTCAAATAGTGCAACTATGTGTTGGTGCTAATTCCATTGTTTTTCCTTCTGGTTTTTGTAGACCAAATGATAAATACACTTCAAGAGACATGACATCTGGTTTTCGTCTTAACCTCCAAAATCTTATTCTTCAAGAATTTGCCAAATTCTGATTAGCAACTTAGCAAGGTTTCACTCTCTATTAAGGATAATCTCCATAATTGAATCCTTACATTTGAACATTTTAGTTTCGTAAGCTTATATGTCTGGAATCTTGTTTAAATATTCACTTTACATGCTTGCCCACAAGCTGCTCGATTAAATACCTTACTAATATAATTTTATTTTATTTTATTTTTATTTTGGCAGGGAAGACTGAAGAGATAGGAAATGAATGTTTCCTTGGGCAATCCGACATTTACTTTAGTGCAACTTGTTAATAATTCCAAGCCAGTTTTCATGGCTAAAGCTTCATGCCCAGTTATTCGTACCTGTTCTAGTTTCACAACAGTAATCAAATGCCCAGAAAGAGAAAATAATTTTGGTGTTCATTTTGTTAACGGATTCCTGTGTGGAAGGGTTAATTCAAAGTCCAGTTATCCAGGGGTTTGGGAAGATCCTGATTCTGGTATTGACAGTGAAAACGATGACGATGGTTCAGATGATGAAAAAGTGGAAATGGAGGAGAGTGACTGGGGAGAAGAACAAGTTCATACTGAAGCTACTGCTAATAATGTGGAGGAATTGTCAACGAGCAAGTACGAAGAAGATCTTATTAAAGGTCTATATTTCTTCCTATCTCACTATTCTCTCAAGTTTTCCAACTCTTATTTGCCATTTTAGCATGTTTAGTACAGTGGATTTTTCTACAGTAAAAGGGGGAAAGAAGCTAAAATCTTGTATAGCATATAGTCTTTAGTCCAAAATATTTTTACTATGGAAGTGTTGTATTTTGACGTGGAAATCATAGGTGATGAGAGAATTGAATTATAAACAATGTACGGAATTGTAAATCATATTGCAACTAGGCAATTCAATTATGACTTTATCCTTCATTTTTCTTCTTGTACAATCAGAAATTTATTGTGAAATTTTTGTTTCTTCTTTTGACTCTTCATAGCTGATTGGGATTACATGAGCTGGTAAGTACAAGATTGTGCTATTTTGATTTTGGGTTTCTTGCAGAGGTAGAGCAGCTCTTGAGCCCAGAAGAAAGAGCAGTTTTGGAACAGAATGAAGCTCCCAATTTGGAGAAAATATCAACTGTAAGTTTCAATGATATCAAATGAGCTCTTATTTGCATTGTAACTTCTTCCATGATTGTGTCAGCAACATAGCAGATCACCTGATATGCCATTGTCGGATGACTCCTATAAGTCAAAATTAAAAGAAATTTAAGCAGAATGAGGCTTGAATATAAACTAAGTTTAAAGTTAGGGGGTGTCATAAAGTAAAGCAGGAAAGGAATTGTTAGGTGAAATTCTCAAGTATTTTCTTTCTTTTTTCTGATATCAAATCAAAGATATATTACAAGTTTTTTTCATTTATGCTTAATTAATATGTTTATAGATATATCTCTACTAATACCAAATCTTTCATTCACTTGTCACTACCAGTAGTTTTATTCTTTATGCTTTTACATTTGATCAATATTTTGGCTACCATAGAATTATAAAAGTTCTTATACTACATATTCTCCTAACATTCAAAATTTATATCGTAATATGATATTCCTCTCTCTCTTATTCCCTTTACTCTCCAGATATATATTGTTTATTAACATCAATTTGCCAGTAACATTTGTTTGTACTACCACTTCCCTCCTCATTAGTTCTACATTAAATATCAGCCATATTTATCATGTGGGAGTTTATCATAATTTTGACTCACGTATGTATTAATGATCAGCTAGTTTATTCAATCTAAACATGTATATAAGAGGTTTGGAAAGGTACTATTTGAACTCTTTATCATGTAAACTATATTCTTTAAATTTGGAGTGAAATAAATGTTTAAAGGTAAATTCAAATAGTTGATTTCTTTTTCTCCTCACCTTAACATGGAACTCTGTCCTGTGGTTTATCTGATTCTCTATGCATGGAGTCAGGCTTTGCTGAGTTAGGAAAGAAATTTGTACACATATTAGTAATTGTACATCCACAAAGAATACACTATAAATAATTGTTCTCTTGCTCTGAGCTAAGGCTTCATTTTTGTTTAAATTTATGCTGCAGGCGAAGTGGAACCCTCTCCATACTTTTGCACTTGCTGGACAGATTAAATTTATGGACGGCCTTCTTGAAAATGGGTATGATATCGACCTAGTTGATAAGGTAAAGTTCAGTATGTCTAAATCATTCAAAGAGGTGCATATAAATAGATCCTTGTACATTTCTATGTGTTCATCATTAATTTAAGCAAAACTTGGTGATGCAGGATGGCTTGACGGCTCTGCATCATGCAATCATTGGTAAAAGGGAGGCAGTCATCAGTCATCTTTTAAGAAAAGGTGCAAATCCTCAAGCAAGGGATCTGGTAAGAAATTTTCTTATATATATATATATATTAATTTTGATTTTAACACTATTGATATTGTTTGTATCCTCATAACAGGATGGTGCTGTACCGCTTCATTATGCTGTTCAAGTAGGAGCCTTGCAAACTGTCAAACTATTAATGAAATACAAGGTTGATGTTAATGTTGCAGATAATGTAAGTATGAATTTTTTTTCATCTACAATTGACATAAATGGTGTTTATAACGTATGCTCAAGTTTGCAGTTGAATGTCATTTCAGTTTGTTTAACACCGTTCTTCTGCCAGGAAGGATGGACTCCATTGCATGTGGCCATGCAAACTAGAAACAGAGACATAGTAAAGGTTTTGTTAGTCAATGGTGCAGAGAAAACAAGAAGAAACAAGGTAAGTTTGCAGAAGTTTTACATACATATCTAATGTAGGATCAATTGATGAAGAGAAGCAAGAAGAAAGAAACCGGAGAGAAAGTGGGAAGAGAGAAGATAGGGGAGTGGTAAAACATGGGCAACAATTCATTCATTCATCATCTGATTTCAATGTGGCAATTCAGATCATATATATAGAAAACAAACCTAAAGCATAAGGGTTGGGCCAGCTCGTAATACAAGCCCAATAATAAAACATAAATAAAAATAGTCCAGGAGGAAGTAGAAGTAGATGTCCTCATCAACTCTCCTGAGGTGAACAAACTTCTCTCGACGTCCATATACACGTGATCGTTGGTCTGGGCAAAGGAAGATCCTCGTGACTCCTATAAAACTCCAATAAATCGGGATCAAGTTGCTAGAGTGTTTCTTTGGTGATCCATGCACAATCAGAATCAGGTCAACCTACCTAACGAACAAGGAATCACTAATTCTTTCCACTATTGATAACACAATCTATTTATCTAAAATAACATCAAGTTTATATTCGTGTACTATAAAAGGTGGTATTGAAGTAGGAATAGCGACATAGTTAGGTTGAGAGTCCACATATGGAGTTACAAAAGGACCATCGTAGGGGTTAAAATGGCCTTTGTAAGAAAAACTAAGTCTTTATCATTGAAAGTAGAGTGGTAGCCAAAATGTGATGAAAGATCAATGTCATGTGCATTTGGACCAACAAGCTTCAAAATTTTAAAAGGACCAACACTACAGACTTGTAATTTGGAAGTAGATCTAGATGGATATCGTTTTGGTCTAATTCAAATCATAACATAATTCCCATTGTTAAATTTAACATGTCTTTCATGCAAATTTATTCGCAGTTTATATGATGCATTACTAACTTTTAGTTGTTTATTGATCTTAGTATGCAAATAATGAAGTTATACAGATGCCTCAGCTTGGAATAAGGTTTAAAGGCTTCTTAAGCTTATAACAATGAACAAGTTCAAAAAACTCATACCTATAGACCTATTCATAGAATTGTTATATGCAATTTGGGCTGTAAAGAAGATCAAATCCCAATTTTTAAGATTTTTCCTAGACAAGACACCTTAATAAATTGTCAAGACTGCAATTAACTACTTCAGCTTGATCATCAGTGTGAGGGTGGTGTGCAGTGGAGAATTTTCATTTAGTGCCAACCATGTGCCACTGGGTTCTCCAAAAATGATTAGTGAAATGAACATTCCTATTTGAGGCAATGGTCTTAGAAAAGGCATACAATTTAACGATCTTATTAAGTATAACTTGGTGACCTTAGGCGCATTTAAAGTCTTGCTATAAGGAATAAAGTGAGTCATTTTCGAGAAGAGATCCACTACAACAAGGATAGAGTCATGTTTCTTTGGCGTTCGTTTAAGTCCTATTACGAAGTCCATACTGACATATTGCTAAGGACAATTGGGGGCGAGAAGAGGCACGTAGAGACCCGTGTTTTTCCTCTTTTGTTTGGCCAACTAACAAGTGTTATAGGCGCTAACTATCTTAGCCACACCCGTCTTCAAACTAGGCCAATAGAATTGACGTTAAATCTCCTCTATGGTTTTATCACGTCTAAAATGTCCGACCAAGCCTCTTGCATGAATTTCCTAAATTATAAATTCCTGCATAGAAGTTCGAGGAATACACAATTTATTGGATTTAAAAAGATAACCATCCTTAAGACGGAAACCATCTGTAGGATCCGATTGTCTACTTTACAAAGCAAAGAAAATGCCCTTAAAATCATGACATAACTCATAATCTTCTAGACCAAAGGGAGATCTGGCGGCTTAAAGCATCCGGTGCTTGATTTTCAATACCTTATATTTTTAATACAATAGAATAGACCTGCAAATATTCAGTACAACAACCATGCCTAGAATTTAACCTTTTCTAGGAATCAAGGTCGCGAAGTGCCTTATGGTCTAAATAAGGATAAATTTCTGGGTAATAAGTAATGACGTCAATAGTGCAAAGCCTTTACAACTGTGTTAGTGTATAATTCTTTATCATAAGTCGAGTACGTTGTTTGGCATTATTTAATTTCTAACTGAAATAAGTAATAGGATGGCGTTCCTGGCTCAGGATTCCACCTATTCCTACCATAGAAGCATCACACTCAACCACAAAACTTTAGAAAAATTAGGAAGTCACATGACATAAGCTTTTGCAATTTGCTTTTTAACCAACCACTCATGTCGTCAAAGTAGACGATGAGGAATTTACCCGTGAAAGGTCAAAGAGCTTATGTCATCACTTTCATAAAAGTACTTAAAGCATTGGTTAGTCCAAAAGACATGATCAATACTCATAACAACCATCCTTTGTTTTAAAGACAGTTTTCCAATTATCACTCGGGAGAATCCTAATTTGGTAATACCCACTCTTTAAATTAATTTCGGAAAAATTTGTAGCACCAACCATTATATCCAACATATCATGAAGCCTAGAAATTGGAAAACGATACTTCACTGTGATTTTATTGATGACACGACTATTAATGCACATCCTCTAATAGCTATCTTTCTTAAGAGTCAAAAGGACAGGAGCCGCACAAAGACTTAAATTCTCATGAATTAATCGTTTGTGAAGGAACTCTTTTATTTATCTTTGGAGCTAGCATGCTCAGTGGGATTCATCCTATAATGAGATAAATTTGGAAGAGACGATCCACGGATAAGATCTATAACATGTTGAATATTTCGTAAAGAAGGCAATAGATCAGGGAGGTCCTTAAGAAAGACATCTCGAAACTCTTGAAAAGCTAACTGGACCTCACCAGGGGTTACTATTGGAGATACCAATGGAACTTCCATAATCACAAAAAACATAACAAAATCATCTACGAGTGTACTCAATTTTCTTGGCTTGTTGCGAGTCAACAGATTTTGAGAGTAAAGGATTAAGTGCTTCTTTCTATTAATTACAAAGGAACATGAATTTGACCTACCATGGATTATCACATCTAAATCAAACAACCAAGGTCAACCAAAAATGACGTATCTGACATCCATTGGAATGAGTCCCACCATATATGATCCTTATACCTAAGAAACTGGATAGTTACTAGACAACGCTCTTTCACAGCTATAGAAAAAGTTTCAACCCAAGAAATGTTATACGGTTGAGGGTAAGGGACTGATTTCAACCAAGACTGGACACCGTAGCTACAGAAACCACGTTAATGCAATTTCCAGTATCCACAATAATTTTACAACCCTTATAGACCAAATCATCAAATTTTTCAAACTTATGCTCATAGACTTGATCTTCTAACGGCTCGTCTATGACATCATTCTGTTCCTTAATGACTAAGGCTCGACTAGAACATTTGGAGGAAATATGACCAAAGCCTTTACAGTTGAAGCACTACATGTGAGAAGTTCTTAGAATTTGAGGAGCTTTACCTTCATTTTCCAGTGGAGGAAGAGCACTAGATAAGAGAGGCTCTAGAATGGACTTAACAAAAGATGGTAACATCGATGAGACGGAAGGACAATTGTCACTACGCCTTCTTTACGAAGTTTTAGTAACCAAATCATAATTTTGGACTAAAGAGTACGTGTGATCCAAAGTAATAACACCTTGAAAGACAAGCTCACACCTAAGATCATCTCTTAGTTCCTTTCTAAACCTACTCAAACTCATAGCCTCATTTTCAAAGACGCGCATTCGAAATTCATCAAATTGAGTAACATAGTCAGTCATTAGACGATTTTCTTGGATCAGGGCATTCCATTGGTCGACAATTGTCACTACGCCTTCTTTACGAAGTTTTAGTAACCAAATCATAATTTTGGACTAAAGAGTACGTGTGATCCAAAGTAATAACACCTTGAAAGACAAGCTCACACCTAAGATCATCTCTTAGTTCCTTTCTAAACCTACTCAAACTCATAGCCTCATTTTCAAAGACGCGCATTCGAAATTCATCAAATTGAGTAACATAGTCAGTCATTAGACGATTTTCTTGGATCAGGGCATTCCATTGGTCTAACAAATTGCCCAGTAAGATTGCGGTAAATACTTCTCTTGAAAGTGACGCTTCATTTCCTTCCCACTTCCAACATAAGGTGCACGTCGCCTCTCAAGGAGGTCCTCAATGCTTTTCCAAAAGAATTGGCATTGTCGGTTAATTTCAAACAGGCAAATTGGACTCTTCAATCCTCTGAGACTCCATACCATGTCAAGAAACAATCCATGTCTCTAATCCATTGTGTAAAAACTCTAGAATCTAAGCATCCATCGAATTTAAAAGTATCTAATTAATGTTTCTAAAGAAACGCTCCTTATGGAGAGGAGATTGAGTACCGTAACGGTCATAGCCTTGTCCTCGCTCACGATCCTGATGCCCATCCCTTCGATCACGTCAAAAATGTTTTCGACCACCTTCTTGATGACGATAGTGTCTATTATGGGACGCTTCAGAGTTATCAGTGTCTGTCGAACGGGGGTTCGTTCAAAGTTGTTCAACCTAGCAGCTAAGTCCCTGTTGTCTTCACGAATAGCAATAACAACCATGTTACTTCACACTTCAATCGGTGGCTGGGGAACGGACTTTGCTGGCGACAGCATCTAGGCTAGAGATGTGAGAAGGCGTTGGGACGACTTGGCTGTAGAAGTGGCGGCGGTTTACTGGGCTGGGTGATGGGTTGTTGGATTTATATGAGCTTTTTGTCGACTTGGGTGGAGGTTGGGTTTTGAAGAAGCGAGTTTGGGATAGTGTCGATAAGAGGTACCAACAGTTACAATTGGTTGCCGTGCAGATGCTAGTGAAACTGCCATTATATCAATTCCTTCAAATTTAACAGTTTTCACTCTTGATTTCTCCAGTTCCTATCTTCTTTGACGAGTTGGTAACTCTGCAGACTATGGTAGCTGGTTATGTTTGCTGGAAATATTTGGTGGGTTATAGTTGGTGGTGGAAGTTCCGGGCTTTGAGTGAATTTTGGGTAGTTGGCAGTTGCAGAAGAAGGTGGTTACTACTCAGAATATTGTAGGTTGTTGTGTTTGCTGAAAATATTTGGTCGGTTATAGTCGGTGGTGGAAGTTCCTAGATTTGAGTGAACTTTGGTTATTGGCAGTTGTAGAAGAAGGTGGTTACTACTAGGTACAGGTTTTGGGAGGTTTACAGCTTGGATGTGTTGTATGGATTTCTTTTGTTTATTGGACTTTTTTGTGGATGATGATTCTGGGAATTTGAAGGTGATTGGCTGGTAATTTGGGAAAGATGATGGTAAAACACAGTTCGATTTATGGGATGAGGTGGAGAAAGACGTCAATAATTCACCAGTTGCTTTGTCCGCAGGTAGCAAATTTTAGCAGTGTTTGGCTCTAAGAAACCAAGTTTGGCTCTGATACCAAATTTGATGTAGGATCAATTGAAGAAGAAAAGCAAGAAGCATAGGAGAAGCAAGAAGGTAGAAACCGGAGAGAGTGGGAACAGAGAAGACAGAGGAGTGGAAGGCAACAATTCATTCATTCATCATCTGATTTCGATGTTGCAATACAAACCATATATATAGAAAACAAACCTAAAGCATAAGGAGCTTGGGTCAGCCCATAATACAAGCTCAATAACAAAACATAAATCAAAATAATCCAAGAGAAAGTAGTAGATGTCCTCATCAATAACTGCGTGTATATGTATAAAATTTTCCATACACACATTTGTACTAATACCCAATTGCATTCATATGTTGTAGGAGCTCGAAAAATTTTATTTTTTCGTTTCAGCAACCTTTTTCTTTGATGTTTTGCAGAACGGGAACACAGCCCTTGATTTGAGCTTATGTTATGGGAAAGATTTCAAGTCTTATGACCTCTCTAAGTTACTCAAGCAAATTCCAGCTAATAGAGACTTATGAGGTCTTTGGCAACTCATTTGTTGGTTAATCATGTGTTACATTTGCAAGTGATGGTTTCACCTTTCCAATTTTTAAGGGAGACAACAATGATCTATCAATCTCGACTACTGAGCTGAATTATCTCATTTTCAACCACACATTCAAGATTGTGGTGAATTTTGGCAGGAGAAATGTTCAACATAATGTGTACCACATGCAAATAATGCTTGTATGGCAGTGCAAATGAACTCGAATTTAATATGGAGTTAGTTGTAAGAGGGTTCTAACCGTTGGTTAGATCTATATATTGGATTGTATATGGACAGTAGTAGTTGGAGTGGGAGGCTCAATCCCTCATCTCAGATTCCTTCCTTGGGTAGAGGATGTAGTCGGCCCTTGCATATTATTATCATAAATGTGAGTAATGTATAATGTCTTTTAGCTTTCCGCGTTCCACTTTTGTCCGACTCATAAAGCTAGTGATTTGTGAATAAAATAAATATGACCAAAATTCTCTGCATATATTATTGATTTGCTACCAAAAAAAATATTAGACTCGAGCATTGGCATTTTCGTATCACCGTGACATATTGCAGTTTTACTTTTTTTTTTTTTTTTTTTAAGGGCTCCATCTCGACGAGGAAGCGGTCGATAGGTGAGGCTGGACCTTTCCACTTAATAATGCAAAGACCACTGGAGATGGCATGATATTGCAGGGCCTGAGGTTTGATGTAAAATGCAAATAGTATAGTTCCAAAGACAAAGACAATTCGATTACACAAGTGTCACATTGATAATTAAAGGCATTAATAATGACAACATCGCAAACATCACACCTTCCACATATCTTCTTGAAAGCTTGACATTGCCTCTGTCCATTGCACTTAGCTCAATCTTTAAATGCTCAAAATTGCTCACAAATGTGACAAATACCCACAAAAAGTGGGAAAAATTATATGAATAACAATAATAATAAATACTTTGTTACCTAGATCTCATCTGTTAATACTTAATGAGCTTAAGTTCAAAGACTCAAATAAAAAGGCATCAAGTGTGTTTGGGAGCTTGGGATTCCAAAAGCACTTCTAAATCAACAGCGCTCCTATATAAAAGGGAAAAAGCCCCCGTACAGGGCCTATAATACAAGGGGTCAAGCTGGCCCCCTGTGATGGGGACCATCCCATATAGGGGTTAGCTTGGCCCCCTCTATTACAGGGGCCTGTACGTGTAGTAGGCCCCATATAAAAATGCAATTGTTTCATTGTGGTAGGAAAAATGCTAATAGGCATAAAAACACATTTCTTTAAGGGGGGTACTTTTTAAAAAGGCCTTGTCAACAATATCTTTCCACTTTGATCAAAATGTTTTTGCCATTCCCCACGATGGCCTCTTAATGCGTAAAAGATAAAATTACCCTTATGTTATTACAAAATTACAAAAATATGGTATTATTTAAAAAACTATTATACCCTTTAAGTTACAAAGAATTCCAAACACTTTGGACTTAAAATTTCAAAATGAAATAACTTTTTATCTGTTTACTCCAACACAGATAAAATTGTTTCATTTTTCATTTATTTCAAACTTGAAATCTCATAAATTTATCAAACACTAAGCAAAAAAATATTATTTCTAGCTAGCACTTTGAATTAGTAAGTATATTTACATATTTTTAATTTTAGTTTCGTTGAATTAGTAAATTGTTTTAATCATTAAATCTTATTTTATATAGACAAATGATTTTTTACAATTTTATACAGATTATAATCTTTTTAAGCAAAAACGAAAAAAATTAATCTGAACAAGTCCTGACAGTCGATCGCTCGACTTTTGAAACCATTTTTTTATCTCATAATTATATTTTTTTAACAAATTATGTTTCATAATGCAGATATGAAATCAGCTGCAGCCCTAATTTATTACTTTGGTGAATTTGAAATGAACAAAAATGATTGATGAGTGTGGAAATGGACAAGTAATAAATGTGATGCTATTGAAATTGTGATAAGATCGAGTACATCATATGTAGAAATGTACCATGATTTACAGAAAAAGCTCAACGTTGATCTCTCTGAGTACAACATGGAATTAAAATTTCTATTCAGCGAGCATACACCCATTTCAGTTCCACCTATAATGGTTACTTCCTAAGCTAAGATGAAAGTTTTAATTGAATTGAACCAAACTCACACATTGCATAACTTTAGTTAAAAAGAATGTCCCTGAAAATGAACACGAAGATTGTGATGGAGGGGATCATAATGTGAATGATTTTTGGGACACGGTGGAAATAGTTCGTGAAGATGATGTGACTATTCCCTAGACAGTTATTCATATCACCATGATCTCACTGTTACGCACAGAATTCCCTTGATAATTCAAGACAACAAGAATGAAAATAAATTTATAAATGAGAATTTGATTGCATTATCCCGTCGAAGACATAAATCAGGTAGGAGCTCACAGGCTGGAATGAGTACACGATCTTCTAATTATTCACGTGTAGTCTCGACAATGAAGATTTGTATGTCGAGCAAATATTTGAAATAAAGAAAAATTTGTAGGAAGCTATGCACCGGATTGCTTTGAAACACAACTTTAAGTTTAAAGTGAAAAAATCAAATAAGTTGACGTACATAGTTATCTGTATTGATGACAGTGATCATTGGCGTTTGCAAGCGACGAAAATGGACACGAATGAGTTCTTTATAGTTCTTACGTATGACGGAAACATACTTGTGAAGTTGACGAATTATGTACAAGTTTCAAGACCTACAAATGATCTATAGACTTTCGGATGTCATTAATGACATTCGTCGATATTATAAGGTGATCATGAGCTATCAAAAGGTTTGAAAAACCAAGGAATGCACATTGGAGGACTTAATGGGTTCGGTTGAAAACAATTATGCTAAATCAGCCAGGTACTTCTATAACATGGAAAGAACTAATCCTGGATCAGCATTTTTTACTGAGATGGATGGCGAGAATTACTTCAAGTATTTTTTTATGGCTCTTGGATAATGCATTCGAAAATTTTGAAATGTGATGTGACCCCTAATTTTAGTTGACGGTACAACCCTTAACACTAGATACGAAAGTAAGTTGATTATTATAACATATCAAGATGCCAACATCTAAAACCTGCATTCACATAATTGACGAAGAAAATCATCTAGCAATGCGTTGGTTCTTCACGAAATTGAGAGAAGAATTGGGGACATCGAGAACCTTGCATTTGTAACTAACAGGGGACAGTCAATAATAAATAGTATCGTCGAAATCTTTTCTGAGGCACATTACGATTATTGTATGTACCATATATAGGACAACCTAAAGACCAAGTATTGGAACGGTGGCATCGTTGCATTATTTAGGAGAATTGCAGAGGTTTATAGTTTTAAAGAGTTTGATAAGTTCATGATCGAAATAGAAAGTAAATTACACGTTGCACGGGAGAATCTAGCAAAGATGGGTATCGAAATAGAAAGTAAACATTTCATAAATTATTTTAATTGTTTACATATATTATTTACTTAATATTTTACTACTTTATTTAATTATTTATCTAATAATTAATTTCATTTTTATTTAAATGTACGTAATATTTAATTAAATATTATTTTTGGCAATCTCCATCACCTAATTGTATATCAAGACCATGCCTCCATCATAGACCAACATTTTACGTACATTTTTCAACAAATTCGAGAATAATTATGCTTTATTTCAAAAATTAATTGCATATTATGGTTTCTAGCAACTCACCAGAAATTCCTCCGGTCTTGATCGTCAGTTTCTCTACAGTTATGTTTCAGTTGTTCATAGTGTAAGGGTATAAATGGCAAGTCAATTGCTTTCAAAGTATTAAACATTTTTTTTTTTTTTTCCAAAATTTGGTCAAAGGCTACTTTGGAAAGATGGCCAGTTCCACTAATTCCTCTTTCTTAAGTTGGTTTAGACTTGGAGCTTCTCTAAAAGAAGTCAAACTCGGTTTTTTCTAGGAAGTTAAAATCTGCATTAATTATGTTAATTAATTCATAGTGAAATTCTAAATATATCTATTTTTCCCACACGTCAATTAACATATGTTTGTTCCCCATTTTTTGGGCAAAATAAATTTTGTAATAGTGATTTTTTAAAGAATGTGTGGTTAAAAATAAAAAATAATAATAAAAAAGTTTTACTTTACATAAAAATTTATTTTATTGGGAGAATATTTGATTGAAAACTTAAAAATAAATTTAGTAAAAAACGAATTTTTATAGAATGACACTCGAACAAGGACTTTATGCAATTTAAAGATAAGGTTAATACAACATTTATCTTAATTTTATTCACTATTATTTTTCATATGTTCATACACGATAACATATCTAGAAATGAAACCTAAGAATATTTCATATTAGTATGTCATATTTTAACGTCTTAAACCAATGATTCATACTATCATTCAACCGGTTGATTTATCATTGATTTTCCGAAATTAATCAATCCACATCATGTGTATGTAAATTATTTTGTAAACATATCATGTACATGTAACACAATCGTTATAAGAACGGTTTAGTTAATACTTTTTTACTAGTTTAAGGATCTATAGGTAATGTCAATTCATGTTACACAAGTAGGTTTTATTTCTTTGATTTTGCTAAAAATCATGAATTTAGTAAATTTTGATAAAAGTTAATGAAATGCATTGTTAAAATTGATTGTTAACTTTAATCTAAATTTTTATAAACATTTTTAGCTAAATCAAACAAGTGCTTATAAAATTTAGTTGTCAACAATAGAAGATTTTATAAATAAAATTAATACATTTTGGGATATTTTTTTTCTGTCAATCCAATTTTCAATATTTAGCCCTTGTTTGAGCTCCATTTTTTTTTTTTTTTTTTTGGTGAAAATGCATTTTAGAATAGTGTTTTCTAAAAGAATAGTTAAAAAATAATAAATACTTTGTTACCTAGATCTCATCTGTTAATACTTAATGAGCATATTATGTTCAAAGACTCAAATAAAAAGGCATCAAGTGTGTTTGGGAGGCTTTTTGGGATTTCAAAAGCACTTCTAAATAAAAAGAGCTGCTATATAAAAGGGAAAAAGCCCCTGTACAGGCCTGTAATACAAAGGGTCGAGCTGGCCCCCTGTGATGGGGACCATCCCATATAAGGGTCAGCTCTGCCCCCTCTATTACAGGGTCATGTACGTGTAGCAGGCCCCATATAAAAATGCAATTGTTTCATTGTTGTCGGAAAAATGCTAATAGGCATAAAAACACATTTCTTTAAGGGGGTACTTTTTAAAAAGGCTTTGTCAACAATATCTTTCCACTTTGATCAAAATGTTTTTGCCATTCACCACAATGGCCTCTTAATGCGTAAAAGATAAAATTTACCCTTATGTTATTACAAAATTACAAAAATATGGTATTATTTAAAAAACTATTATACCCTTTAAGTTACAAAGAATTCCAAACACTTTCAACTTAAAATTTCAAAATCAAATAACTTTTTATCT